AAGCCATCCTCTCTTTAACTTCAGCTTTTTCACAGATGGCATCAAGTTACCATCCAAAATTTGCTGAAATTTTATTGAATCCATTTTTCCTTCTACTCGTGAGATGTTCCCTGTGCCACTGGCTGAAACACAACCCCAAAAGCATGATTGATCCAACCCCATGCTTAACAGTTGGACAGAGGTTCTTTTCATTAAATTCTGTGCCCCTTCTTCTCCAAACATACCTTTGCTCATTCCGGCCAAAAAGTTCAATTTTAACCTCATCGGTCCACAGAACTTGTTTCCAAAATGCATCAGGCTTGTTTATATGTTCATTTGCAAAGTTCAAACGATGATTTTTGTGGTGAGGACGTAGAAGAGGTTTTCTTCTGATGACTCTTCCATGAAGACCATATTTGTACAAGTATCTCTTGATAGTGGAATAGTGTACCACAACTCCAGTGTCTGCCAGATCTTTCTGGAGGGATCGTGCAGTCAAATGTGGGTTTTGAATTGTTTTTCTCACAATCCTGCGAGCTGTTCTGTCTGATATTTTTCTTGGTCTTCCAGATCTTGCTTTAACTTCCACTGTTCCTGATGACTGCCATTTCTTAATTACATTCCGAACAGAGGATATTGACATCTGAAAATGCTTTGCTATCTTCTTATAGCCTTCTCCAGCTTTGTGAGCGTCAACTATTTTCAGTTTCAGTTTTCTACACAAAACTGCTTAGAAGAACCCATGGTGCTGATTGTTGGGGCAAGGTCAGATGAGTCTGGGCATTTAAAACCTTTGAGATTGACATCACCTGGTTTTCCCAGACGATGATTGAGAACAATCCATGACACTGGCAGGTCTCAGCTTGGCAAAGGGGGCAGTGCATGCTATAAATTCTGCAGGGTGCCCAAACTTTTGCAGACGCCATTTTTTTGTTTTCTGTTATTTTGAAAGTGTAAATGATGGAAATAAAATCTAACTTTTGTTGACCTATTATAAGAATGTCTAATCTGTAATTTGATGCCTTTTGGAGATTTTTCCATCTTTCCTTGGCTTCTTTATGCACGTTAATACAAGTTTTTAGCTGGGGTGCCCAAACTTTCGATCCCCACTGTAGGTGCGCATACAATAATGTAATACAATGCAGCACGTGCCCCGCTTTCTAGAAGGATACGATTTCATCAAAAGTACTGTGTCAAATTTAACTGCACCTGTCCCAATACTAGTTTCGCAGGGCTAGCCAAGCACATATGCAAACACAGCCTGAATGCAGACTCTATGCTGCTCAGTGCAGTCTAACTATAAGCTCCTGTAGATCAAATGCAAGCTATTCTGGAGCAACCCCTCCAATAAGCGCACTGATACCAGTGCAGGGGTGTATCACAAAACAGTTGTACAAGCCCCCTGGGATTATGCAGACTAATGCAGTGTATAATCATGTCCTGTCTGGTCATGCAGCTCCCCCCACAAGTAGTACTCGCACATCATCTAGACATAGACTGCTCTATGTCCCTGCTATCTCTAAAGAAGCCTCACTGTTCCTTCAGCCCACGTTACTTCAACCATAAGCTAAAATGGCCACCCCTCTACTTCCTGCTTGCACAAGAGTAGGCTATATAGAACGGTCCCTGGGCCTCTAGTGGCTGAAGGAGAACACTGCACCCCAATACTCCAGAGAAACACAGAGCATGGCCGGCCAGACAAAACAGCACACTGCCCCCAGTGGCCACCGGGAGAAGGATCAGAAAGTGAGATTTTCAAAGAAGGACTGCAAATGTAAACATCATTCCTGCAGCAGGACTCTGAATCATAACAGGAGCCCAACCTTCACCCATCATGGCGGGCGGTCACAAAAGACCTTCAAGGACTCGGTCCCCCTTACATCTGGGGATCCACCGCCTGGAACCTGCATAACACCCTGCTGAAAATCACTTTGGTCAGAACTCACACTACAGAGGGTTCCATTATGAAGGGTCCAGCACCATAACTCTGCATTACAGGTAAACCTCAAAGACTTTTCTCTCGTATCAACGAGGCTTGGGTACTATCCATTTTTGCCAACAGCTTTCCAAATGGATCCGATTCCAGTCCTTGATTCACAGAACCACCATTTCAGACCTCCAGGTATGCTCCAAGAGCAAATACAGCACATCAGTGACCATCCACCTTACAGACTGTGTAGGAGGGGTTATATAGGGGAGGACATCCTATTCAATTAACCTGCCAGTGTCCGTTCATCTATAGGTGGTATATAACTTACAGTCATGAATAGCCTACTCTGCGACCCGTTAAGTACAATAAAGAAAATGCTGATTATTACACATATGAGAGAAATGTCAAAATTGGCCCAGAAGGCAAGTGGTTAAATTGGATAATAGGGGGAATAAGGTATCTGTTGATAATACAAAAGAAATAGCTAGAGCAGGATTTTGCAGAACTGTGCTCGTATCAGTCAAGCTATTATTTACTGTAAAACAAATTAGCCATAAAATAAATGAAACATCTAAACAGAATGTGGTCAAACCAATTAACATCTGAAGCCCCATAATTAGAGGATTATTTCCAGGTTATAATGCAACATAATAGGAAAAAACAGGATTTTCGCAAGCACTATATACTACATTTTGTTCTGAGGTAATAAGTCTGCTTCCAGGGCTCATGCATTTTGGAAGAAAATCTTCATTATCAAAGCTTTACTAACTATATTGCAGAGGTGAGCAACCCCTTAAAACTGAATATAGTTTGATAGCCCCTATCTAAAAAAAATATATTTAATGGGTCAGGAGGCATATTACATTGGGCATTAGTCTAGGATTAGGGAAAAGAAATGGAGAATACAAAGAACAGCAGAATAAGTACACAGCTACAAGTCCTTTAGTTTTACATAACCAAGAAGAGGAATCATGTAAAATTGTACCTAGCGAGCATATCCTGTCTGCATGGCACAACTTCAGAACTAAAAATGTTATGGTTAGGGCTCCTCTATCACCTACAGACAGGCAGATTTAGTGAACATTCCACAACGGGTGTGTGTGTATTAAATAGACATGCATGTCTAACAAATTATGCACTGATTTGCATGTTCATGAGGGAAATAAGTATTTGATCCCCTATCATACAGCAGTATTTCTGGCTACCAGGTGTCTTTCATACAGGTAAAAATCTGAGATCAGAAGCAGTATCTTAAAGAGAGTGCTGCTAACCTCATTTTGTTACCTGTATACAAGACACCTGTCCACAGGAGCAATCAAACCATCAGATTCCAAACTCTCCACAATGGCAGAGACCAAAAAGCTGTCCAAGGATGTCAGGGACAAGATTGTAGACCTACACAAGGCTGGACTGGGCTACAAAACTATCGCCAAGCAGCTTGGTGAGAAGGTGACAACAGTTGGTGAAATCATTCACAAATGGAAGAAATACAAAACAAATGTCAGTCTCCCTAGGTCCGGTGCACCATGCAAGATCTCACCTTGTGGAGTGTCAATGATCATGAGAACAGTGAGGAATCATCCCAGAACTACACGTGAGGATCTTGTCAATGATCTCCAGGCAGCTGGGACCACAGTCACCAAGAAAACAATTGGTAACACACTACACCAACAAGGATTGAAATCCTGCAGTGCCCACAAGCTCGCTCTGCTCAAGAAAGCACATGTCCAGGCCCATCTGAAGTTTGCCACTGAACATCTGAATGATGCAGAAGACTGGTTGAAAGTGTTGTGGTCAGATGAGACCAAAATCAAGCTCTTTGGCATCAACTCAACTTGCAGTGTTTGGAGGAGGAGGAATGCTGCCTATGAACACCATCCCAACTGTCAAACATGGTGGTGGAAACATTCTGCTTTGGGGGTATTTTTCTGCTAAGAGGACAGGACAACTGCACCGGATCAAAGGGATGATGGATGGGGCAATGTACCGTCAAATCTTGGGCGAGAACCTTCTTCCCTCAGCCAGGGCATTGAAAATGGGTCGTGGATGGGTGTTCCAGCATGACAATGACTCAAAACACATGGCCAAGGCAACAAAGGAGTGGCTCAAGAAGAAGCACATTAAGGTCCTGGACTGGCCTAGCCAATCTCCAGACCTTAATACGATTGGCAACTCGAATTTTCAGTTCCCTCCACAGATTTTCAAACGTCAGCCACCAAACCTTAATGACTTGGAGAGGATCTGCCAAGAGGAGTAGTTCAAAATCCCTCCTGAGATGTGTGCAAACCTGGTGGCCAACTACAGGAAACGTCTGACCTCTGTGATTGCCAACAAGGGATTTGCCACCAAGTACTAAGTCATGTTTTGTGAAGGGGATCAAATACTTATTTCCCTTATAAACATGCAAATCAGTGCATCATTTGTTAGACACGCATTTCTTTTGAATGTTTTGTTGCTATTCTGTCTCTCAGTGTTACAATACACCTACCATTCAATTTCTAGACTGATCATTTCTTTGTGAGTGTGTGTACATATACACACACACACTTTTTGTTTTCCATACACTTTTTGCATCTTTGTTAATGCATTATACTTTTTTTTTTTTTTTTTTAACTTAGTCTAATTAAAAATGCATTATACTTTAAGCATGTTAATGTGTAATTTGTTTGGGCACATGGATCACTACACCCATGTAGTGGACCATGTTTTATATTCCCTGGAGGCACAAGTGGTTTTTGTAGTCTGACTGTTCAGTTCAATGACAGGCTAAAAGCTGCACGGATCTTCATGCATATCTGTGCAAAACAGATACACAGCTCTGAGCACAGACAAAACTGTGCATTTGCCTGCATGTGCGCAATGATCAGTGAAGTCCCATGCAGGTGTTAGCCTATCATTAATTGAACAGGCTGGCTGCAAGGACCACCTATGCCTCCAGGGCAAATAAACACGGCCCTCTGCTTCAGTGTACAGATTGGTGCATCTGTGTGAATGAGTTCTTGCTTTTGTGGAAACCAGAATAAAAGGGAAATGGACATAATACATAACAGGTTCCCAAACCTGAAACCCATTTTAAGCAACACAAGTTTACCTTATAGTCACCTTCCCGCTTCATTAATATCGCCTCTTCTAGGTCAACATCATCAGGGCTGGCTGCATCTATCGAGCATACATCATCTGAAAGCTCGTTTAGAAGGAGGTCATCTAAATGTGATGGTGACCACTGAAGGTCATCAGGCTCCTTTTTGATCAGTAAAATAGGGGCTGACTGAACAGCTCCTTCAACAGAACCAGCATGTGGACTGTGCAACTTTGGACTTGGTATATCTGACATTGCAGACATCGGAGAATTCTGAGGACTAGCAATTGCTGAATCAGAATTTAAGTCATTTACAGGGGAAGCATCCTGGGGTGATGGAGGCTCTGAAACATCTTCACTCTTGGTTTCTGGAAGCAAAGAATCCAGTAAAGATGGTGACCATGGAGGGCTATTGGCTTCAAACTTAATTTTTTCATCACATGAGTGATCAGACAATTCTGAAGCCGATTCATCTTTAATGGAAACCTTCCTTTCAGAAAAAAGGAAAGGGTCATTTTCATCTTCTTCCTCTTTTGGTAGACTGAGCACAGACTTCTTTGTCTCTTGGGTAATTGTAGGAGACTCCGTTTTAAAGCTAACTGTGCAAGTTATGGTCTTTTCATTGTTGTTTGGGGATAAAACAATATGTCTAGTTATTTCCGTGTCTCGGAAATAGGTTTGGTCTTTTGATTTGTGAACTTTAAACTCTTTGCTGACTTGTGGCGATTTTGATCTTTGCTTCCCTCGATCATCCTTAGATTTTTTCTTCTCTTTTGCCCTGGAGCTCCCTTCCTTGCTGGAGTAACTCTTTTCACTTTTGTGTTTCCGTTTTCTCTCTTTATCAGGACTAATGGAATAGCCTGGTGATTCACTTCTTGAATCTCTCTTTTTCTTCTTCTTCTTCTTGCTGTTGTATGCTCTGTGGGAAGAGCTGCTACGGCTGCTTGATCTGGACCTCCGCCTTTCCCTAGATTCCGAGCGTTTTCTTTTTTTATCTTTCTTCCTTTCTTTTTGGCGCTTTTTCTTAGAACGTTCACAACTTCCTGAGCTAGATCTGTCACTACGGGCCCTTTTTACCTTGTGTGATTTTGACTTGTATTTTCTATCCCTCTCTCGGTCCTCAATGGACATAGAAGCAGATCTTGAATCTCGTTCTTGGGAATGTGGTCTCAATTTTGAACTTGAGCCTTCTTTCAACTCCTCCTTAATAGTTTTCTTCTTTTGAGTTTCACTGGTACGGCTAGTGGGTTCATGTGGGGTTTCTGCATCCCAAACAAGCCGACTGCTTGATGTACTTTGAAGACAAGTCCTATGTGGAAGAATGTCTGGATCAGGTTTAACAGAAACTACAGGGTGTTCGTTTTCTACGTCAAAATGAAATCCACGAGTACCTCCTGCTTTCAGATCAGACGTAATTTTTAGTCCGATTGGACAAGATATTCTAAAGGGCGGATGCTCATTTGTCTCTTCTTGAATTATTTCTTTCTTGATTTCCTTTTCTAACTTTAAAAATGAAGGAAGGGTAGGGCTTGCATTAATTTGGCTTTTAGATTCTTCTGGCTCTTTATTGGTAGGTGACATTCCAGAAAAGTCTGGGCCAAGCTTAGAAACACTCACTTTGCTTGAGTGGCTTGTAAATTTAAAGCTCCGAAATGCTCCTACTTTTACTCCACTAGACTGAGTTGTACTTGCAGTAGTTTCTACAGATGGAGGAGGAGGAGGGGGGGGGGTGGGTGGCGGCGGTGGCGGTGTGTAGCTGGCCTTTCTGGGCTGCTACTGGGGGAACCTGAATCTGAACCTGTTGGTTCAAAAGGATCATAAATTTCATTTTTAACAGTTTTTTCTTTCTTGACTGTTGTAGAATAAGGAGAAGTGGCTTTTTGTGGCATTTTGCCATCCGTAGTACGAAAAGGATCTTTTGAAACAGGACTAAATTGTCTGCAGGAATTTGTTGAACTTCCACTAATTGTTATTCGAAGTCCACCTCCTCCAGCATCTGAAGAACCAATGTTCCTTGAACTGTTCGAATAAGATGATGTTTTGTTACTGCTTGATGCTGCTTGACTAGATGATGTACCACCAGTGTTTCTTGAATGTGCTTGTGACTCTTGTCGGGTGTTTCTTTCTGTGTTTTCAGCTGTAGAAAACCTGCCTAACTGCTTACTCTCTCCTCGACCAGTTAGTTGGTTCATGATGGGCCCTGAAGGATGAGCTTCTGAATGCTTGTTGGTTGAGGGTTCCAGTTGCCTATTGACCTCATTACTAGGGCTGTTGTCCGTTTCCCTTTTGATCTTTGGTATCCGGGGAAATTCTGAAATGTCCAGTCTTAGTGATGGTGGCTTAGAAGCATACTTGATCTCTGGTTTCTTGGGTTGTGTAAGATCATTTTTGCTGTGAAATTCTCGTTTGTGAAAAGTCCCGTTGAAGCGTGAAGTCTCTCCAGGCTTAGAAGTTAAACGGCTAACAGAAGAATGTACCTGGACTGCCCTCGGTGTAAAAGCGTTCTTTAGTCTGAAGGTGGGTCCTCCAGATACTGAAGAACTGGGACCAGATAACCTATCTAGGCTACTTGAAGATGAAGAAGGTGGTGATGGTGATAAAGAATAAAGACCAGCTGGAGAAAAACTGGGATGGGGTGGCTGCTGTTCAATGGGTTTCCATGTGTTGGAAGGGGATGTGGTTGTTGGGGACCCTGAGTGAGATGGGCTCGGTTCCATTATGACTGCTGGTGTAACAGCTTCTCTAGATGATTTTCTCTGTGAGGTTGCATCACCTGTATAAAAAAAAAAAAAAAGTATTTTTTGAGTGTGTCAGTAGTTTAACATGTGAACATTCACAAATATGGTTATTCTTTACACCCAAACTTGTTGCTTCAACATCCATGGAAAAAGCTCCTGACGGGTATTAAAGTGCAAAATCTGCAGATGTTTTTAGAGCTCTAACTCAGCAAGTATAAGGGACGGTAGGAGTAGGAAAACGCTGAAACTACCAATAAGTGCCAGAGCTTTGCCTGATTAAAACTGTCCATAATTAGAGGAGAGCGGATACACAAAGCTATTGCAGGCATGTGCTTGCACCTCTATGTGCAGGGCAGAACAAATGCCAGGAACCAGGTAACCAATGTGCAAGTAGCAAACCAGTATTGGCTATAATTGATAACAGAAACACATTTTCCCTTGTTCCTTATAATTATCTTCTAGCTACTAAATTTAAATAACCGCTTTCCTAACATTTCCGAATTTTATCCACACCTTAAAATAAACCATCCATGTCTACTGGGTCCTGTTTTCTGCAAATCCTCATAAGCACGAAGTTAGAATACATCTATGATATCCTAGATAGAATGAGCTCACGCATACAGTTTACTAGAGTTTTAAGTTTTAATAGAATTTTTGTACTCATTTTAAAATCCTTTTCCTAAAGCAGTTCTTCAGTCCTCCAATTAATAAAAGTCAGCAGCTACAGTTTTTGTAGCTGCTGACATTTAATCTCCTGTCCCATGATCCAGCAGTGTCCTCGCCCGGCCAGTTTCTTCACTGGGCTTTGGTCCTCGGCGCCAGCATACTGTGGGTAGCCGGCTGAGACAGCTTGCGGCATCACAACCGGTTTCTCACTGTGCATGCACAAGCCGCACTACTCTGATTGGTCGTGCAGCTTTAATTGACCTGTGACATGTCCCAGAAAGCAGGTACCCACTCCCGCCCTAAAAATGATGTGCCACATCTAAAGGAGGAGAGAGGGAGCAGAACTTCCCCTTTTGGGGGGAACCGAGGGACAAAGGAAGTCAGACCTTTGGCTTATACGGTCATCTACAGGAGTATTACAAACTGTCAAACAGAAAACCATAGGCCAGCCCAGGGTAAAACTCCTCCTACCAGCATGCCTGTGTATTGTTTTATGAGGTAGGGGGGAGGGACAATGTCCCTTTACAGACTCAAAGAAAAGGATTTTGTAGGGAGTACATGAATACTATTTTTTTCTCTCATCCACGGAGGAAGTCTTAAACCTTTGGTAGTCCAAAGACAGTCAAACTAAAAAGCTGGGCAACACAGCAAATAGTCACAAATAGTCATGGAAACAGGAAACTGTGGATTGCCTGCAGCTCAGAGAGCCATCTAAAAAGGACCTGACACCCAAAGCTGGAACCAGATAGTGTAAAAACATAGAATGCATGAACAGAAGACCAGGAAGCCGCCTTGCAAATCTGAGAAACCGTTTCCTTACGCCGAAAAGCCCATAAGGTGCTCACACCACCAATGGAGTGAAGCTTAAAAGAAAAAGAATGTACCCAATCCTTGAGACCATAAACCTGAACAATGTTCTACCTGAACCTGAATGGGACAAAAGGAATGGAAGAACAATGTCCTATGGAAGAGAGAGGCAGCGACCTTAGGAAAGAAGGAAGTCCCTATGCAAGACCAAAAGGACCCTCTGCAACTTAAGATTGCAAGTTTATACCCTATCCTCGGTAATAGCAACAATGAAAGCAACTTTGAAGGGAAGTGTAAACAAGAGGAATGTTTCTAATAGGTTCAAAACACACTTAGACAACTTAATTCAACTCCCATAGAATCAAAGAATAAGGGACTGGGGGAACCACATGGAAGACCATTGCATAAAGGTCCTAAATAATGAGAAGTCAACAGTCTCTAAAACAGAGTGGACAACCCAGAGATCTGACCTTTGATGGGTGCTGAAAGCCAAAAGGTGATCCAGACCAAACTGCAGGAATTATTTTTTCCCACGGAGAAGCTCCTGGGATGGAAACCCTGGATTTACATCAGACGAAGAATGCGTTCCACTTCAAATGGACTTCCTAGCCCTGAGCATTGTAGGAATCAGATGTCCCTGTCCATTAGAATCTGGGCTTAAACAGCCATGCCGTTAAACCAGTGACAGAGTAGCAGGACGGCAAATTGGCACTTAGGACAGTGGATCCAGATGGTCTGACAGGGCGCGCGTGCGTCTGCTAAAAGCCTTACCAAGTTGGTAAACCACATCAACCAGGGCCAATCTGGAGCAATGACAATCACGAGAATGTCCTCCCATCTTGAGCCTACAAAGCAGGCAAAAGAAGGCTCTGGAGAATAGGGGCATAGACCAGGGTTTGCTAATCCCACAGGGCCACCTGCTTCTGCCAGAAGATCCACCTGGGTACAAACCTATCCAGTTTGATCTGGAGGGCAGGAGGTCCACATCTGGCCTCCCTCACTCAGGTCCTGAAATATCATCAGATGTAGAGATCACTGTCCTGGGTCTAGACA